AGTTAAATGGTGGGAGCTTTGTATGATAACTTAACAATAGAATGATGTAGTGGATGGTGGTTCATTTCCTAGGTCACTTTCAAAACCTGTTTAATTTTTAACCCAATATGTTTAAGGTTTGTGAAGAATATAATAGGAAAGAAGATAGCTGCAAATGTGCCAAATTATGGGCTGGATATATTTTTTATGAACTAGCTTGGGATGCTAATCACTGTTAATAAAATTGTGTCTTTGTGGAAAAATAAGTATTCTAAGAAATGGAGTGAGGGATACATTTCATAATAATTATAATATTTCAAGTATAATTTATCTTAGTACTTTCTGTATGTTACCTTTGATTTCACAATGATCCGGAAAGGTAGGTGGTATCAGACCCACTTTATTAAGAAACTAAAGCTCAGAGAGGTTTAATAACTAGGTCATCCAGCTAGTAAGTGATGGAACTGTGAATAGAATCAAAGTATTTGCTGTTTTCACTGTATTGTTCTACCTCTTAGATGGAAGGCCTGGGTTTATAGCCCCTACCCTCATCTATTGAGTGGTCAAGGGACTGACCCTGAATAGGGTTTAGAATCTGAAGAATTGATCAAAGTATATTCATCTGCATAAATGACTTATTTTCTCTTATTTCCGCTTAAGGTTATACACATAGCTATTCAGTAGTGGAGTCATGATCTGATTCCAGGCCTCTTTGATTCTAAGGACCATGTTCTTTCCGTTATTCTTGGAGGTGAAAGATCAAGTTTCCACTGAATCATCAAGAATTAAATCATACTCACTATTGATTTCTGTGTGTCATATTTTACTTAAAGGTAACATCTAATGTATGGCATATATCATCTCACAATTAAGCAGAATATTCACTAACCGGAAAGCCACGTAGCTATTATTACCATGTAAATTATCCATTTGTGAACTATATCCAATAGATTTTTAATCTTTGCTTGACTTCTCCCTGTACCACTATCATTTTCCCTCCTTACAAATGTTTTGTTACTTTATTTAATGAACGGAATCTTTTACATGAAACAGTATTATTTTTGTACTTTGTAATCCAAGTTCGAAGCATCTGATACAGGTTTTTAAATACACATTTTTGGCTAGTTATTTTGAAAATAAGTAAATTTGTAATTGGGAATCATGGGTGTGTATGTATGTGTACACATATAGTGTATTAAAATAGATTTGTTAAAGATTTGGGAAAACATGCTTTGAATTTAGAAAGATTTCTATGAAGCAATCAGCAGTGTGTTAGCAGAAATATTGCCTATAAGTAACTAGTAATAAGCAATTATGTTAATAGTAGGCCTGATTTTAAAATTAAAAACTTAGTTTCCTCCTGAGTTTTGTCATCAGTTATTAGAAAATGGACGTTTTATGATACAGGAATGCCTTACCTCGAGGGCTGGCAAACTGCAGCCTGTGAGCCATTTTTTGGTATGGCCTGCTAGCTGTGTTTTTACAACGTTTTTAAAGGTTGCTTAAAAAAAAAAGTGACAGAGACCAGAAGTGTATACTGCTGCAAAGCTTAAAATATTTACTCTCTGGCCCTTTACAAAAAAGTTGGCCTACCCCTGCCTTACAGCTTTCCAGGTAGCTCCAAAAAGTGAACAGTAAAACACTTCAGACTCTTATAATCAGGTAGATGCTGTGTATGCTACAGTGTTAGCATGAGCTATTTAATTAGCATAAGCCAGAAAAAAATTCAACTTCTGTGTCTATAAAAATTCCATTTTATGATACTGTAGAACTCTAAGTACTACGTAGAATACTTGTGGAAGTAATAACTTATTTAAGAACTCAACACCTTTTTAATCTTTAATGAAGTTTTAAATAAATTATCATTTGTTTTTTGAAAATCTGTATTCATAAAGGAACATTCCATGGTTCTATTGTATTCCAGGTAGTCATTGGATATCCAGGGGTATTAGCATAGGAAAGGAAAACAGAAAATGGGAAAAATAACAACGGATGCCTTTTTCTATCCTTAGTATTTTATAACTAGAAGTGTTAAGCTCTTTGTTCTCCACATAACTTATTAGAGTAGGTGTCCTTGTTAATTTGAACCATTATGTACATTTTTAAGGATAATTAATGAAGGTAGTAATTTTGTTTATAAAGTTTTTAGCTTCCTAAAATTTTTATATTTAAATTATATAACTAGTTAACTTGGAAATTTCTTTGTTTTTACATTCTTTGACATATGTTTATAGTCTAGCCTTCTAAATTCTGTGTAATAATGCAAACATGTCATAATATTCTGCATACTGTATTAATACAAACTGAAGAGCATATATGTAAATACAGGTTAAATACAATGTATGTATTTCATTGAGTTTTTAAAAAATATCCACATCTTTCAAGGGTGCTATCATGTCTTTGTCTTTGAAGGATGAAGTCTTTGAAAGAAACTAAATGAGTACAAAATCATTTTTAAAAACCAATACATTACAAAGAGGAATCGACGCAAGGTCTTCAGCTCCCATATTAATAACCCATATTAATATCGCTTTATGGATTTTCAAAATCCTGTATAACTTGTGCTTTATCTAATCCTGATCTATGCAGTGTAACCAGAAGTATGTTCTGTTGGTGTTCCTTTATCAAAGCTTGAATCTGCTCTAATTTTAGAGTATGTGAATGTGCATTCTGTTTGATTTTTAGTTATATACAAAGTGATTTCTAATTTTATAACAATTAAAACAGTAATTGCCTGAAATTGTTTTCTATAATCGCATAACATCTTAGGGCAATATTAAACAAAATTCACTTTTTCTTCGTTATTTTTCTAGTTCTTACTCAAATGAGTATATATCTTTTATAGTTATAAATAAGTTGAATGTTGTAGTTTACTTTTTAAAGCATATAGCTATTTAGCTGTCATCATGATCATTTCTAAATTCATAATATCCTACTGAAGTGATCTCACATATAAACCATTTCTCAATAATTAAATACTAACATTGGCTACAATTTTTTGATATTTATAAATATTGCCAAAATTATCACACTTAAAAAAATAACAGATAGCCTATAGTTATCTTCAGCATCTGAAAATCCTGGTAGTAGTTACACATAAGTAATGATGCCTAGCAGTATTAGTTCTGCTTCATAAAATTGTTTACTATACTTTCAAATTTGATATATTAAAATAACTGCCAGTTTCATATTAGGAAGGAAACTGATCAAATGAGAACCTTGTAATTTCCAAAGCTGTTGAAGAATATGTTGTTAAAATTCAATAGCTATTACTTATAAACATTTTTAAGGGATTGTAAAAAGTGATTTCTTATTTCTACTTTTAGAAATTCATTTTTTGCACTTCCAAAAGTACATAAAGACATAATTTTTGAATAGAATGCAAGCTCCATGAGCACAGGGAATTTCAGGTATTTGTTTAGTGCTACATCTCTAGGTCCTAGAATAGTACCTGGCACATAGTGAGCCCTCAATAAATATTTTGAATGAAGCAATTTTCAAGGATGTTTATTTACAGTATTATTTGGTATACTGAAATTGGAAACACTTCATGTTCATTAATAAGGGGGTGATTAGTGTAAAATAACCACACAATGGAATATTATCTTGCTGGAAAAAATTGAGGTTGTTCCATGTGTACTGACATTGACATTCATGCCACCTCATTCTGTGAATAAAGCAAGTAGAAAAACAGTATGTGTAATATAATACCACTTTTGTTTTTAATATTTTGATTTAAAAAATACATAATCCATTTATGCTCAGCAATTCTTAAACTTTTTGCACTCCTAAAATTACTGATGATTCTAAATGACATCTGTTTGTGGGCTAGATATGTATTTATTTATATTTAGATATACATTTGCCATGTTAAAGTTAAGACAACATTTAAAAATTTACTTATTCATTTAAAATAAGAATGAATTTATTACGTTAACATAAATACTGTATTTTTATGAAAATAACTATATTTTCCAAAATAAACACATTTAGTGAGAAGTGGCATTGTTTTATATTTTTGCAAATCTCTTTAATGTCTATCTTAATTAAAAATAACCGACTTCTCATATCTGCTTCTTTATTTAATCCATCGTGATGCTGTTTTGGTTGAAGTACCTCAAGAAAATCTAGCCTCACACAGATACGTAGTCAAAACGGGGAAAAGTATTTTAATTCTCTATTCCGATAATTGTAGATATTCTTCAATACCAAAACTCTACAAGTAGTAGTTTCTTAAAGATTAGCGGCAATGTAGAATTTAAAGCTATGTCAGCGAACTTTTCGTACTCATACTTTTCATACTAAAGCCCTTTGGTCTGTTTTGCACTTAGAATAGATCTTTTACCCATGCAAGCTTTTATAGCTGATGATTGTTCATTTGGAAAATATTGGTTCACTGGTTATGCAGATCTTCCAAATGTTGACACATTTTATTATGCCATGCTCAAAAGTCACATTTGTTAATATCACAGCATAGTCTCATTGCAAAGGTTTTCAAGTATTGTGAAGTTGTTAGGCTCATAGTAATGGATGAGCATTTTTTGAAATTCTACTTTTCACTTGAAAGCTTGAATTTTGTCATTGATAACACAATCAGTTGTTTTTCTGGAGTTGATGGGCTTAACTTCATTCACTTGTTGAGAAAACAGCTGTTAAACATCCAAGTCTGAATAATTGTCATTTGTTCATCTACAGATAGTGTTCCATTAAAAAAGGGGGGGGCTAATTTACTCTTAATCACAATGATACTTGAAAAGAAAATTACTATTTTTTTAAATCTGTAAATAAAAAAATGAAAAGAAAACATAGCAGAATGTTCAGTGGTTATCTTAGGATGGTGGGGAAATGGTGACTTTTTTCTTCTTTCTCCTTTCATTTTTCTGTAATGAATAATACATTTTTATTATGTTATATAGTTTAAAGTGTTATATAAAGTATGTTATTTATAGGACAACTTACACATAACAAGTGGATATGAATTATGAAGAATAGTTAGTTATTTTCTCTATTTTTCTTATTAGGATTTAGGTCCTGAATATGAAGATATATTTAACATCTCATTGCAGTGGATTTTGGAAAATGGAAAAGATGTTGGAATAAGGTAAAGGATTTGGTTTCCACTTTGTCCATTTTGTAGTCTAAGAAGTGATTTTGACTCTAAACTCTCCCTTAATTATTTTTAAATAGGTGTGTTGGTTATGGCCCTGAGGAAGAATTGACAGATATAGTTGATGTACAGTTTTTACAATCCACAAGACCACAGATGTCCTTCTGGTGTCGTTTTCGACGTGCTTTTATTACTGTCACCCACAGGTTATTGTTGTTATGCTTAGGTAAGTTGTGAGGATGAGAAAGCAGATACATTGTAATCTAGAATTTTTGTGTCTGTATTTCACCAAATGCCAGGATTGAGAATATACTTCTGTGATAGTTGTCATTATAAATCGCATCCAGAAGTCTTCAGTAAGGTATAAGAATATTGAGGGTTTCTATAGTGTCCGTATCAATCTAAGGGCTTAGAAAACCGTGCTGTGAGGAGAGGTGGGAATCAAACTTTGTCATGTGAATGTCACAGAAAAAGCAAATTTAGTGCATAGATAGAAATCTACTTTAGGAAATAGAACAGGAAGATACAAAAATTAAGCTTATTTTTAAAATACTATATTAGAAATTAACTTAATTAAAATTATTTTTAATTTAAAAAATACCATTAAATGAATTAAAATTTTCATTCAGATTCCTAGATTTTATGTGACTATTTTGATTCATAACAGGAATTTAGGAGATACTCATATTTTTTTCTTTTTTCTGCCCAATTCCTGTAAAAATAATTCAGGTTACTTAAAGTTAGAGGTAGTTTGTTTACAGTCTCATAAGACTCACTTTTCTCGTAGCTTAATGCTGAAAGAAAAAAGTTTGTGAAACATAGTTATGTTACTTTGTTTTCAAAAAAAATAATAGAATTTAAATGTTGAGTTGTCAGCGTAATGAAGAAATGGTTTTTCTGGAGATATTAAGTGACACTCTGGGAAATGTTTAATATTAAATTTTTCTATGTAATTTGATCATGTAGCTAATTCAGACCACTGTCTTGAAGGCTTATTCCATTATCCCATTATGGCAGTTAAAATAGTCACTGTAGAAACTGTCAAAATGGCTTTTTTTTGCTTTATTTTGTTAATACCACATTTAACAACTGACAAAATAACTTCAAGTTGCAGTGAATATTATTGAATGCCATTGACCACAGTTTTAAAAACAATATATAAATATTGCAGGTGTAGTGATGGTTTGCGTTGTTCTGCGTTACATGAAATACCGCTGGACAAAAGAGGAAGAAGAAACAAGGCAGATGTATGATATGGTGGTAAAGATTATAGGTATAGTATTTGTAAAAATCTAAACTACTTCTAGACATTATGTGATAAACTACATGATGTCCAGTGATTGCTTCATTTGTAAATTTGTTTGATTTACTTTCAGATGTTTTACGAAGTCATAATGAAGCTTGCCAGGAAAATAAAGATTTACAGCCTTACATGCCTATTCCCCATGTGCGAAATTCCTTAATACAGCCTCCCGACAGGTGTGTTCAACACATTATGAGTTGAAGTAAATCAGAATGTTGGTATCTTCTGCAGTCATGAAAATTACACTGAGAGTTGTGACCCTTCTCAACTAGACCTGTTTTATTGTACAGGCTTTATTTTTGTACTTTAAACTCTTTTCTAAATTTTCATCTATTATCTTCCTGATTTGGAGTGGCATAATAGACAACTGGATTTCAAAATATACACTTTTGATTCTCTGTTGTCAGTCTCTACCTTATTTCCTTTAATTCTGTCTTGATAAGGAAACAGAGACAGAGAACAGCCAGAGATGTTTTATTAATAATGTTTTAAAATACTTCCTTTTGTTGTTAATAAGGCTTTTTAAATAAAAGAATTAAGCAATAACTTCTTGAAAATAAAAGATGATGTCACATTCTAAAGCAATATTCTTACCCTAGCAACACATCAGAATCACCAGTGGAGCTTTTGTGCGGGAGGCGGCAGGGGCGGGGGGAATACAAGTGCATTGTTCCAAATATAGTCAATCTGAGGTGAGGTTCAGTCATCTAAATCTTTTTGGAAAAAACTCCTCCATATGCAGTGATAAGAACAGCCCGCATTAAGAGTAACCACTACCTTCAATGACTAATATTTGAAAAAGATGACAAGCCAAGATGATAGTAAAGTTGTCATTTTCCTTCAAATGATAGGAGAAAAATGAAGAAAGTCTGGGATAGAGCTGTTGACTTCCTTGCTGCTAATGAGTCTAGAGTTCGCACGGAAACACGAAGAATAGGTGGTGCAGATTTTCTAGTTTGGCGGTGGATCCAGCCTTCTGCATCCTGTGACAAAATATTAGTAATACCTTCTAAAGTGTGGCAAGGTCAAGGTATGTATTTTTAAACAACAAAAAAATATAAATGTAATTTTTTCAAATGCAAAAGCCTTACGTGTTTAAAGTAAAATAGTATAACTGAAAGATGTATGAAGGCAGAGCTCCCTTCCAGTTCCATCCCATAGAAGGAATCAGTGTTAGCTTCTTACATGTCCTCCCACTTTTCTCCTTGCTAATATAAACAACATGGTTTGTCTTCACTGTGATAGAATTCTAGAGACATTACTTTGATTTTTTTCCCTCTTTCACTTACCAAAGCAACTTAGTATATTAAGTTGACTGATTTTTTATGCAAATAAGACACGTAATTTGTTTTGTATTTAAAACACGTGTAAGTGGAATTATAACTTTTAACTGCTCTTTTTTCAATTTTTGCTTGCCTTTCTCTTTTTCATTAAGAGTCTTCCACCTGCATATCCCATGCCAAGTAGCTTTTGTGGGTATCATTCCATATTTTTCTTAATGCTTGCATAGTTGCAAAAACAGGTATTTGTAAGTTTATAAGAGGGTTTGGTGTTTGGTTGCCTTACGTATCCAAAGTGATAACTGTTACCTCATTTTAATTTTTTGTATCTTAATGGTTATTTGCAAAAAGAAATCTCATGGCTAGTTTAATTTGTATTTCAGAACTAGTAATGAGTTGAGTTTCTTTTAACCTTGTTGGATAAAAAGCATATTTATCAATGCTTGCTAAACATAGACTATATGGGAAAGGTAGGTCAATTGTTTTGAAATTGAAATAAAATAAAATCCAATCTCTTCCTGATTTTCTGTAATTGATTTTCACTTTCAAAGAGCTTGAATAATGGTTTATATAATCGTGGCATAAAAATAAAGTTTTTATGTTTCCAAAATGACACTAAACCATAAACTATTTGCTTTAGGGTACATGCAGAATGGTCCTCTGAAACCATAGGCTGTCAGTCAGATCTGATTACCTTAGTGCCTTATAATGATGCATGTGGAGTCTCAGCCTAATTTCATCATAGAGCTAACAGTTGGTGCTCATGTATGCATCTGAAGTGCTAGGCCATTGTTTTTGTTCATATGAATTTTTTTTTATCATTATAGTTGTCTTATTTTAAAATAAGATATTTAAAATAAGTGAGATTTTCAAGATGAATCCAAAGGCAATTTTCAACTAGATAATCCATGTTGTTCTTAAAAATTAGTAGTGGTATGATTTATTTGTGTTAAATTGGACACTTTATAATCTCTAGGATTTAAAACCTCAGACTATTATTTTCACTTTATCATTATCTTTAGCTAGGAAAAGACTGCAAAAATGATAAAATACAACTTAAGGTCAGTTATAGTAGTAGTTAAAACTCAACCTGAATTAATACAATATTTTTTAAATCTCCAGCTACTTTTTTTAAATATATTTTTTAGAAGTTTTATAGTTTTATTTTTTTAATTAATTAATTTATTCATTCATTGATTTTTGGCTGCGTTGGGTCTTTGTTGCTGCGTGCAGGCTTTCTCTAGTTGTGTCAAGCAGGGGCTACTCTTCGTTGTGGTGCACGGGCTTCTCATTGCAGTGGCTTCTCTTGTTGCGGAGCACAGGCTCTAGATGTGCGGGTTTCAGTAGTTGTAGCACGCGGGCTCAATAGCTGTGGCTCACGGGCTCTAGATAGCAGGCCCAGTAGCTGTGGTGCATGGGCTTAGTTGCTCCGTGGCATGTGGGATCTTCCCGGATCAGGGCTCGAATCCATGTCCCCTGCATTGGCAGGCGCATTCTCAACCACTGCGCCACCAGGGAAGCCCTCCAGCTACTTTTTACGTATTAAGTGTTTTATCCAAGTTTCAGTGTATTAAATGTTTGGAAACTATATGCCAAGTACTGAGCTACCTTAATTTGCATATTTCTAAATGGGCCATGTAAAGAATTGTAAATTTAATCTCTCTTTTCTTGACAGTCTTTGATAAACAGTTACAGTGATTAGGGCCCTGTTCCTGGACCTAGAAGGGAATTGAGAGTAAAGTAAGACACCTGCTACTTAGCAAATAGAAAAAAAGGTGTAATGGCTGAGATAATTTTAGCCTGAAGGCAGAAAATCCTGACATAGAACACTTGGTAACTATTTACTTGAAGTATACCAATTCAATTTTTGGATGGTTGTAGTGATAAAATGGAAGTCTTTAGATTTATAGCAAGAAAGACTTGAGCTCTTTTAAGAATTTCATCATAAGAAGAATTGTTACAAAAAGCTGATAATGAGAAGTTGTTGGAATTTTCTTAATGATAGTTATACATCTTTTTGCCTCATTTAAGAACGTATAGCTCTAATACAGAGAGAATTTAGTGTTAATATTACTTACATTTTTATGCTATTAAATATATAGTCTATTTAAATGTAACTAAATGACTCTGACCTAGCTTTTTAAAATGATTAATACATAAAATAAGTTTTGCTTTCATTTAAATATATCTGAGCACAAATGTTGTACTGTATAAAAATGGGCGTATACTAGAGGGTTCTGATGGTTTTTTATGTGAACAGATAGTTTAACTTACTAACAAGCTTAATGTTTCTCCCCTTATAAATGCAGTGGTTTAAAAGGTACATGTCTGGGGAGTTCCTGGTAGCCTAGTGGTTAGGATTCCGAGCTTTCACTGGATTTCAATCCCTGGTCAGGGAACTGAGATCCCATAGCCGTGCAGCATGGCCAAATAAATAAATGGTACATATCTGGAGGGTTGGTAATTACAGTAGTCTTTTGAGTTCACTACCACTACAAGCTGTTGTCATTTAATGATACTTTTCCCAAGTAACTGTTAAATAATCAGCCTTATTGAATTTTTAGTTCAGTTTCTAAAAAGTAGTTAAATATAAATTCAGTGATAACATTAGTATCTCTAAAGGTATTTTATTTAATGAATTAATTTATTTTTATTTAAAAATTTTTTAATTTAATTTTATTTTTGGCTGCGTTGGGTCTTCGTTGCCGTGCATGGGCTTTCTCTAGTTGTGGCGAGCGGGGGGCTACTCCTTGTTGCGGTGCGCAGGCTTCTCATTGTGGTGGCTTCTCTTGCTGTGGAGCACAGGCTTTAGGTGTGCAGGCTTTAGTAGTGGTGGCACACGGGCTCAGTAGTTGTGGCTCGTGGGTTCTAGAGCGCAGGCTCAGTAGTTGTGGCGCACGGGCTTAGTTGCTCCGCGGCATGTGGGATCTTCCCGGATCAGGGCTCTAACCCGTGTCCCCTGCATTGGCAGGTGGATTCTTAACCAGTGTGCCACCAGGGAAGTCCCTAAAGTTATTTTAAAGTACCAGTTTGCTGGGGAGCCAGAGAATTATTTATGCTTCTGACAAATGTAGTGTTTGGTATAAACAACATTCATTTGAAGGACCCAAAGGTAGTTCCTGAGGTACTTGAAATGTATCATTCAATAACTACTGTATCTTTACATGGCCATGGTAATTAGGGTTTAGTTAGGGAGATAAAGCTTGTATCTTAAAAATCAATTTGATCTTTTGGACTACTTTCTGACTAGAGTTGGCCAGGGATAGTTTCTCCCAGATCTGTTATTTTGTGGAAACTTGGGTCTCGGCTAGGATAAGGTGGTATGAATGCTTCTGTTTTCTCTGGTGCATCCCCTGCTGGCCCAGGCCGTTATTGGAATTTCAAGGAAGTCAGATTGTTTGCAGCTAAAAGGTCATCTAAGAACAGAATCTGTACACTGGTAGAGAAGTTCAGAAGGTACTAGATGTTCACAAACCTTCTTGATCTGAGATTTGGCAAAGATTTTTCATGTCTAGTGACCCTTCCTCCACCCCATATCAGGCACTGTTCAGACATTTATACTCCAGATGTTTCTTATCACTGACAGTTCTGAAATCTTTAATTGATACGCTCTGGTCTTTATCATAAACTCATCCTTTCAACTTTCCTGCTTTACGTATTTGGGAACTCCAGAATCTGATTCTTCAATGCACCTACTTTCTCCAGTTCTTCAGCATTTCTCCTATCTTTACTTCTTTTCCTGTGCATCTTAGTTTTCATGATCCATCTTTTCAATCACTCTCTTGCTAGTACCCTTATGTCATCACTTGTCCTTCATCTTACCCTGGTATATTCCAACCAAGGATGAAACTGTTTATCTGTGCCTGTCTATATGCAAATGGATGAGATTAGCAGGAGAAATTCATGCAACTTGTTAGACTGGTACCTTTATAACTAATCAACCTCAATTAGGTCTTCAGTACTACCTGCCTTTCTTATTCTTACCATTTTTTACTAGTCACTTCACTTACCTACTCCACTCAATAACAATTTTATATTTCTTCCCCTCTTTTCAAACCTTTTGCCCTTCTTCTCTGTCTTCTAATTCTCAGTTGATGACTCAAATAGAAACAGTCAGATTGTACCTGCCTCAAATTTCCACCACCAAATTCATAGAATTACCAAAATCTACACTCATCCTCACCTCCTCTTGCAATTGAGGAGCTGTCTCACTTAACAAAGATCCGAGCCCTTCTCTTCAGAGGATCCCTCTGGATCCCATTCCCTCTGGTCTTCTCAAGTGTCTTCCCTTACTGTGTTTTAAATCCCTGCCTCTCTTGGATCTTTTCATCAGCACTTAAACATACTATAGTCTCATCTTTAAAACACACTGGTGCACTATACTTTGTCCTATAGCTGTCTACCTATTTATAGCCAAATAGCATTAAACAATTTACTCACTGTCTTTACTTTTCCACCTCCCATTTATTCTTCAGCTGACTCCAGTCTGTTTTCCATCCCCATCATTTCAAGGAAATAGCTCTCAGATTTCAATATTGCTAAAGTCAGCGGACATTTTTCTTTCCTGTCCTTATTTTACTGAACGGTATTAACAATTGAGCCTGCCTTGGAAAATTCTTGTTTTGGCTTTGTGGTTGCCACTTTCTTCTGGTTTTCATCCTACCTCTTACCCTTTCTTAAATCTTCTTTTCTAGATTTTCCTGGACCTCTAGGTGTTGGGGTTTTTCCAGGCCATCTTTCATCATTCTCCCTGTCTTCCCAGATGATCTTATGCTGCAACTTCATTTTTTATATATATGTTGATAACTTTCAAATTTATGTCTCGCACTAAGTCTTCTGTTCTTTTTTTCAGATTTTTATACCCAGCTGTATACTTGTCTTCTTTACTAAGAAGCACTGGAAATTCAACATGTGCATGAACCTAATGTCTTCTCTCTCCAAACTGACCTTTCCTCCAGTGTTCCTGTCTAATTAATGATACCTGCCCCTCCTCAGCTGGTTCTGTCATAAACCTGGGAGTCATCCTTAATCTCTCCCTTAGCCCCCACATGTGCAGTCTTTAAACAAGTCATGTCAGATCTATTCCATAATATGTCCTGATTCTGTCCAGTTATTTCCATCTGCATTGCTGGCCTGTCTTATCCACATTACTATCATCTCCCTCTTAGACAACTATAATAACCTCCTAACTGGTGTCCTTGCATTCACTTTTGCTTCCGTCTAATTGATTCTCCACATAACACTCTATTTAAAAATTTTATAATTTTAAGAGATCTTATCATACTATTCCTCTCCTTAAAACATTTGAGTGGCTTCCCATCGCTTTTATGGTAATGTCTAAGTGCTTTAATGTGGCCTACATGGTCCTCCATAATCCAACATCCCCTTCTTCAGGTTTATCTTTCTATTGTCCCCACTCTAGTCTCAGTGACTATCTTTTAGTTACTCGAATATACCAAGTTCCTTCTTGCCTTGGGCTTTGTACAAGCTGTCACCTTTGCTTGAGATGTCCTTTACACCTCTCTTTACTCTGCCTATTTATATTGTATTTATTCTTTAGGTCCCAGCATAAATTATACTTTATCCTTGAAGTGTTACTTGATATTCACAGATTAGCTTCAGTTACACTGAGAGCTTTCTGTACTCTTCTTTCTTAGGATTTACCACAATTATGATTTCTTGGGTGACACTGTTTTTCATCTGTCTCCCCCACTAAACTAAAGTCTTTGAGAACAATGACTGTGTCTGTCTTATTCACCTTGATCCAGGGGTCTGGCTCATAATAAAAGTACGCAGTGAATATTTTTTGAATAAACTGAATGGCTGAATACTTTTCAACAAAATGGAACAATGGAAAATAGTAAAACTCATTTGTTTTTTATAGCATTTCATTTAGATAGAAGAAATTCACCACCAAATAGTTTGACGCCATGTCTAAAGATTCGAAATATGTTTGATCCAGTTATGTAAGTATTATGACGAAAGGTACATGTAATTTTTATTTGGAATATTTGGCTGAAAAATGCATGATACTCTTATAATGCTGTCTGTAATAGAAAACTCTTCTACTTCTGAATCTCTAACTACCGAAATGTTCTGTTTTTCTCATTTCTTCTTTTTTGTTAAATTTCAAGCAAAGGTTTCACCAAAAGGCACAGATGTATAATGATTTGTAAAACTTTTATAAATCTGCATTCACTGGGAATCCCCACAGCAGATAAATGCTTGAGTCAAATTAATGACAGATATGATGACAGACAACAGTACCCTTTATTAGATGTATAAGTCGTGTCTGCCACCGTTCTTTGCCTCAGTAGGCAATATAGATAGAAATATCTGCTATTTAAAAATTTCCAAATCCTACTCATAAAAAGTTTTCTACAAAAATGTACATACCTTCCCCTCTACAAGACTTGTCCATTTACTGTTTGAGAAACTTTTCTGTCTATGTAATTACAACAACACATGCATCCAGAAAATAGCACAGTCAAAAGTTATTGCCTTAGAATCCATAATACTTCACATATAAGCTGTAATAATCTTTACAACTTGCTTCCTAGAGGTGACTACTTATCTGTCCAATGATAGGACAAGTCAAATTTTGTTTTTTAAAAAAAGCTGACAGTAGAAATTGTATTACATATAAAATACCCATAAGTCCCATCTGATAGCTCATTTATTTCAAGAAATAGTTGATATGGTAAGATTCCAAATGAGTGACAGCAAAATTGTAAATGCGACAAAGCACTGTCAGTACACACACACACACACACACACACACACACGCACACACGCACGCATTCCCTCCATTTTGCAGAGGTAGAAACAATTAATGGTGTGGTGATCCCTCTATTTGGAATCTTACCTCATACCTTAGGGTTTAGGAAGTCTCTGCCAGTCCAGTATTTTATTACCTGAGATGAAGATTTACAATTTGAAGTGTAACAGCCTTTTCCTTGGACCCACCATCTATATCTCACAAGAAAAACAAATGTGTGTTACTGTAGCGGGAACTCTTTCGTAATAGTAAGGTGATTTGTGTCACCTTACTTAGGTGACTTAGGTACAAGGTGACTTAGGCACAAAATGTTTGTCCTATATTCACGCTTCTATTATTTTGGAAAAAAAGAAGCTCAGAATATACTAAGAATTTTCCTTAAGTTTAGGAATTTGAAAATGTCATTAAAAAATAATACTTTACTTTTACAAGTTTACTGTAACTCATTAAAGTGCTTATTAACATTTGTCTAGATAGAAAAGAGAAATGACTTTAAGTACGTAGGATTTTAAACGTAAAAATGATAGCACATTTATTCTGCTATAGTAGAGATCCTTCAGTGCCTCAGCATGTGCGTTCTTAGACTGGAAAGTGAGAGCAGGGCTGGGACTTCTGAATGCTAATTATTTTTTAATCTACCTACTGTTAGTAACAAGCATTTATATACTGTTAATTTTAACTATATGGTTTTTAAACTATCCCCATTTTAGTTGGGTATATATATTGTAAAAAACAGAAGACTTCTTCTGAGTAGGAATATAGCTGTTAATTTTTTTTCTTTTTTCCCCCAGCTGTATTGAGGTATGATTGAAAAGTAAAAGTTTTATATATTTAGGTTATACAACAGACCTTTTGTGTTTTGTTTTTTTTTGCTCATTCTTTAAAAAAATTTCTTTTTATTGAAGTATAGTTGATTTACAATACCATGTTAGTTTCAGGTATACAGCACTGTGATCCAGTTATACATATATATGTGTGTATATATATATATTCCTTTTCAGATTGTTTTCCCTTATAGGTCATTACAAAATATTGAGTGTAGTTCCCTGTGCTATGCAGTAGATCCTTGTTGTTTATCTATTTTACATCTATTTTATGTTTATTTTATGTATACATTATATATATAAGATAATGTGTATAAGTATATAGTGTATATAGTGTGTGTAAATTAATCCCCAAATCCTAATTTATCCCTCCCCCCTTTTCCCCTTTGGTAACCATAACTGTTTTCTTTGTCTGTGAGTCTCTTTCTGTTTGTAAATAAGTTCATTTGTATCATTTCTTTAGATTCCACATATAAGCAATATGATATGATATTTGTCTTTCTCTGTTTGGTTTACTTCACTTAGTATGATAATCTCTAGGTCCATCCATGTTGCTGCAAATGGCATTATTTCATTCTTTTTTATGGCTGAGTAATATTCCATTTATGTATCTATACAACATCTTTATCCATTCATCTGTCGATGGACATTTAGGTTGCTTCCATGTCTTGGCTATTAATAGTGCTGCTATGAATATTGGATGAATATTGGGGTGCATGTATCTTTTTGAATTATGGTTTTCTCCTGATATATGCCCAGGAATGGGATTGCAGGTTTATGTGGTAACTCTATTTTTAGTTTTTAAGGAACCTCCATACTGTTCTCTATAGTGACTGTACCAATTTACATTCTCACCAACAGTGTAGGAGAGTTCCTTTTCCTCCACACCCTCTTCAGAATTTATTATTTGTAGACTTTTTGATGATGGCTGTTGATTTTTGTTTTCGTTAATTTTTTAGGGAAATAGGGGATCAGTGGCATTTGGCAATTCAAGAAGCAATTTTAGAAAAATGCAGTGATAATGATGGCATTGTTCACATTGCAGTAGACAAAAATTCACGTGAGGTAAAGTAACTTTTACTATTGAATTCTACGTTTTGGATTTGTTGCTACTAAACTAAGACTATTTATTTTCTTTCTTCCCTTTTTATTTTTTTAAAAAATATCACAGGGTTGTGTATATGTTAAATGTCTGTCTCCAGAATATGCTGGGAAAGCTTTTAAGGCATTGCATGGCTCTTGGTTTGATGGTAAGAAATTTGAGTATGACAAACATTTTGAAAAGATAAATTATGGTTTACTGTTAAACTATACCAGATTTTAAATTAAAGAATCTTAGGTTAGCATTTTTAGAGTAATAATTTTAGATTATTTTGTGTTCATATATCTTTTACCACAGTTTGTTTTCTATTAAGCACATTCATACAGATCTAAAATATTATTTTTATCTTACAACAGGGAAATTGGTTACAGTAAAATATTTACGACTAGATAGATATCACCATCGCTTTCCCCAAGCTCTTACTTGCAACACTCCCTTGAAGCCATCAAATAAACATATGAACTCTATGTCTCATCTTCGTCTTCGGACTGGCCTAGCCAATTCTCAAGGAGGTTCCTGAAAAGACTTTCTTCCACTCCTAGGACTGTTCTTTACAATAGGAAAATTCCTGTTTGGCTTCGTCTCCCTTTTTAAATGCTTTTTGTATGTAATATTTTTATTGAGTACAGATCTGTTTGAACGTTCCAGAAATCTTAAGGTTCCAAAGGGACTTAGCAGTGAAGCAGCAATGCTGAGTAGATAGAATAATTGTTTCATTCAGTTTTTGGAGCTCAGTTAAGCCAATGCACTTAAAGTTTTGCATGAGGAACATTGACCTTATTAAGCATTTTCAGATGTGGTGGTTGTTAATTTTGCACCAAGAAGTGTTTGGATAACCACACAAAAGCATGGTGAAAAGGCTTCTTGTATTTCCGTAATTTCCTGTAAACTAATGTTGTGAATTTTTGTATACAGTCACCTACATAGTTCCTTACAGGCTAATGTGGTAAAACTGTTAATTTCCCAATTTAATCTTAGGTTTCTATTGCTTGTAAGAGATTCATTTGCTATAGCTGGAATATGGGAAAATCAGTCTGGGTTTAGTGGTTACATATAAGTATAAGTGGATGTACATGTACTTAAACTGGCTTTTGTATATATGTATAAATGCTGGTGATGGCGAAAGTAGTCTTGTTTTGTGAGGATATCTGCATTAAAGCAGTAAAATAAGCTTCCTATTTTATTCATAATCTAATGTATATATATATGTATTTGTATATATGTGTGTATGTATATATATATGTATGTGTATATGTGTATATATACACACACATATATACATATGGCTGTACTATCATATAGATCAAACAGCCAAACACCTGGAAGTATTAGATAAAAGTTTAAAATATCTTTTATAGGTTTTATATAAAAATGTCTGAGTATGATATTGTGTGAAAGTTCCGATACCAGTTGTAAGGGATTCAAATTTATGTGAGCAATAAAAAAGCAATTGGCAGACATTGGAAAAGTATTTTGTGAAAAGCTGTATTTATTATAAATACTAGGGCTATGACATAGTACCATTGGGATTAAGTCATTTTCCCAATCTATTTATAATTTAATGAGATGTTAGCTTCCCTGTTGTATGTCAAGTTTAAAGCAGGGCACATTGTTGCAGCAAAATGTGTATTTGAGAAATTATATTTGCAATTTTGGGTCATGAAAGTTTGCAGTATAGTAAATGCAGGAGTGATGGTTGCTTTGTGCCTCAGTATTTACTTTGTTTCAGTGAAGTTACCTTATTACTGTTTATGATTTCAGATTAAAATAGTTACAGAGCAAAGTTTACTTGTAATGTAACAATTGGCTTTTTAAAAATAACCTGTTGATATGTCATTGTCAGTCCAAATGAATATGTGAAACAGCTGGAATTGTACCAATTTTGATTTTGTTTAAAGCTCAGTTTTCTTTTTTTTTTTTAATTGTATATGTGTTGGGTTTGCAGCATGAACTTGCACAGTTAATGCACGTTTTCTGGTTAAGTAAACATGATGCACACTGTTCTGTAACAGAAAACCCTATTGTGCCTTACCTATGTGCTTTTGTGGGCACCATGTTTATGAAGAATAAAAAATGATTTGTTATCTGAAGAGAATAAATTTTAAATTCTCAGTTTATGTCTCAGATGCTAAAGTGTGAAAAAATATATATAATATATAAAATAACTAATCTTTCTGTATTTTATGTGCATCACAGTGATTTATCTGTGCTTAGTGACCCCATCTTGTGACCTGTTATAAGAGTGAATGTAAAAAATAGTTGTGGCATTTTAAGAGGTCGCCTTTTGATGCAGATGCATCTTTTTCTTGCTTCTAAAACATATTCCATGTAAACATTGTACATTTATTATTGTAATATATACTTTTATGCAGCTTATTTTACCTGAAACTGTTAAGCCGACCAAGATCCCTCCCTGCAAGACAGATGGGAATGTGTATAATAACTAGATATTTGAGAAGTTCTGAAGTTTGATGTAATCTGTTACTTGTCCTGTTTAAAAAAAGGAAAAAATTCTAATTAAAAATTTATTAGGTTTTTTTTTTTTAAATGCGTCTTGGCTTTAAAAAAATTTTTTTAAGTGCCCTGTGTCTTTATTTTATTTTATTTTTTTTACCAGTGAAAATAGATGCCTTTATTTTTAATCTTTTTTGGTATCTGTAAATATATGTATGATTATAAAAATGGATGAAGACCCTGAAGTTAATTTTAGCCATCCATTCCTCAGCATCTTTTCTTTATGAAAATGTCTTTGTCTAACTTTCAAGTGTTTGGCTTAAAGTGGGGCAAGAATGTAAATCAGATGTATCACTAAAGCACTACTTAGTTTAGCTAGACTTTTTTTTTTTTGGCTGCATTGGGTCTTTGTTGTCGCACGTAGGCTTTTTCTAGTTGTGGCAAGCGGGGGCTACTCTTTGTAGCGGTGCACAGGCTTTTCATTGCAGTGGCTTCTCTTGTTGCGGAGCATGGGCTCTAGGCAGGTGGGCTTCAGTAATTGCAGCACGTGGGCTCAGTAGTTGCAGCACATGGGCCCTAGAGTGTGCATGCTTCAGTAGTTGTGGTGCGTGGGCTCAGTAGTTGCAGTGCGCAGGCTCTAGGGCACGTGGGCTTCAGTATTTGTGGGTCCTGGGCCCTAGAGCACAGGCTCAGTAGTTGTGGCGCATGGGCTTTGTTGCTCCATGGCATGTGGGATCTTTCCGGGCCAGGGATTGAACCTATGTCCCCTGCATTGGCAGGTGGCTTCTTAACCACTGTGCCACCAGGGAAATCCCAGCTAGACATTTTTTCATAGCAAGACTTTCTCAAAGGAAGCCATTCTTTTACACATTCTAGCTCAAACTCCTTATCATAAAAAAATAGTTTGTGGGCTAGCTACTTTGAGTAGCATTGGTTTCGATTTTTCGATGGTTTAATCAACTAAAAAGAAGACTTGACTTAGTTGGTAGACTTTTATTGGTTGCTAACAAATGTCAGACACTGTTACACATTAGGGATGCAAAGATGAAAAAGACATGGCACAGTCTTCAAGATGGTCACAATTTAGAGAACCTAGGGCAGCTAAGTTAAATGATAGTGTGGAAAATATAGTGAGAGAAGAAAGCAGAATAAATTCTGGGAGATTAGGGTTTCCCTGATGGCACAGTGGTTAAGAATCTGCCTGCTAATGCAGAAGACATGGGTTCAAGCCCTGGTCCAGGAAGATCCCACATGCCGCGGAGCAACTAAGCCCATGTGCCACAACTCCTGAGCCTGCGCTCTAGAGCCCGTGTGCCTCAACTACTGAAGCACGCGTGCCTAGAGCCCTGCTCCGCACCAAGAGAAGCCACCACAATGAGAAGCCCGCGCACTGCAACAAAGAGTAGTCCTCACTCGCTGCAATTAGAGAAAGCCCGCGGGCAGCAACGAAGACCCAAAAATAAATAAATTAATTAATTAAAAAAGAATTCTGGGAGATTAGAGAGGTTGCTTATGCATCTTAATAGATTGAGAAGACATCAGGGCAGATGAGGTAAAATTTATCAGCCACTTCTTAATTAGTATAGGTACAATGGTAAGTCTCTTTTCCTGTGAGCTCTCAGGGAAGCTTCTGTTCTTGTGATGAGCTCATAAAAATCAATGTGTTGAAACCTGAGTTATTATAAAATCCATTTTCATGCTCATTGGTCGGTAGAAACCTGAATATCTTGTGAATATAGAAGCCTGATATTGCACTTTGTTATATTTTCCTTGTGTGGATGACAAGTTGTGATTTCCAAGTGAACAGTGTCTTGATATATCATGTGCCCAGAACATTTCCTTTAATAAGATTGACCTTGCAATTCTCATTCCCTGCTCCTAGTGACATTACATTACTGCAGGTCATCTACATGGCTTCTTTGCCCTTTTTTCCTAGACTTATCTCGGCAAGTCACTTCTTCCAGATGACTCAACAAAAGATGCTAAATCAAGCAGAATTTTGGCAGCCACTCTTTTGGAAAGGATGCTCAAGAACAGGTACTTAACTGAAAATTAGAAACCAGAAGTTGTGCTTTAAAGAAACTGAATGTCCATAATGCTCATTCTACTGGTCTAGTGAGCATAACTAGCTACTGCCTTTAAGCCCCACTGGAGAAACTTTATGACTAGGAATACATCCTGGTGGTAGATTTCTGTACCCAAGAACCTCTACCAGGGGCAGCAGGATAGACTCATTTTGTTGATTCTTGGACTTTAATGCCAGTAGAACCTGAGTATTTAGATTTACCGTTTCTTCCATGGGTAGACGTTGGAGACCTGCACATGCTCCTTAAAATTGGAAAGAAGTCTGTCTGGGCATAGAGAGCACATGAAAAAAGATCGATGAGAAACAACCTAGTGCATGTATAAACTACAAGCAATTTCTTATGGTTGAATTACTCGGTACAAGACAATAAATAGAGAAAGGAAAGGTAGGTAATGATCAGTTCATGGAAAGCTTTGTAGGTCACATTCTGAAGTTTGGATGTGGGTTGTTAAAGGGAGATCAGGTGAGGATTTGTTGGGATGAAAAATGGAGAAAGGATTTGAAAAATAGAGATAAAATGGGAAGGACTTGATTAATTGGATATTGATAGAGAAATTGATGTCCAGTTTTCTAATGTAGGAACTCTAACCATCCCAACATTTGGAGAACAGGTGATAAGTAACAAATTGGATGGGAAACATGATAAACTGAATATTTGGATACTTTGAGATTGGGATGGAATATTCACCCATCCCAGTATTCAGGTGGATGTTTCTAGTAGGTGATTGGATTTCCAGTTCTGAGGTATTTTGAGAAAAATCTGAGCTGGAGATACAATTTGGGAGTTAAAACCACAGAGGTGAATCAGATGACCCAGAGAGAGAGAGTCCATATAGAGACAAATTTAGTTTAATCCTAATTCTGCCATATTTAGCTGTGTGGGCCTTAGGTGGAGGGTTGGGTTGGGGTGAAATATTAAGAAAATTTCAAAACAAATTAAGGTGGAATTTGAAAAGGTCTTTGAATGGGGTGAAGTTGAAGTAGAAATTTAGTATGACTATCACATTTCTGGCTTGGGCAACTGGTTAGATGGTGGTGACATTCCCTAAATTATGGATGGGCGGTTGGCGGGAGCCAGATGCTAGTCAGAGTGCTAGATAAGACTTCCCAGAATTGCAAATGTTAGGCAAAATAATCCTTCTGACTTATTTTTCTGTTATAGGACATTGTTGGAGGATGAGTGATAGGGGACAGTCTTTGAGAATCTCTCTCCAAAAAAACAGAACTGTTAACTTACATAATGTTCTAGCATTGTCTATGATTCTCTGGTATTCATTAGAAATTTTCCTGATTTGTAGAAAATGAGATGTTGTGTAGATCTGTAAACCTGTGACTGTCAAAAGAAGGAATAAATACAAAAGTTGGTTGTTAATTAGGACTGTTTATAAACGGTTTGCCATGCACCCAAAGCTAGGAACTTGGTTGATGTGTGTTATACATTTGTAAAGCCTTTGTAAACTAGTCAAGTCTTATAGGCCTGGAAACCATTTTTTTTTCTTGGCGACTTCATTTCTCCTTTGATTTATTGAATGAGTTTAAAAATTTAACTCCAGAGGGCAGTTTTATTTTTATAGTTCCAAATGCTACAATACTTCCTTTTACTTAAAAAAAATTTATGTGGACATTTTGAGATTTCAGTGGCACTTTAAATCCTACTGAGTAATAGCCAAAACTCAAGTTGGTCTTTAAGGCTTGCCTTTATCTAGACCAGTGCTGTCCAATACTTAATATAATGTCAGGCGTGTGTAATTTTATTTATTTATTTATTTATTTATAATAAATTTATTTGTTTATTTTTGGCTGCGTTGGGTCTTCGTTGCGGTGCGCCGGCTTCTCATTGTGGTGGCTTCTCTTATTGCGGAGTGCGGGCTCTAGGCGCCCAGGCTTCAGTAGTTGTGGCACGCGGGCTCAGTAGTTACGGCGCATGGGCTTAGTTGGTCCGTGGCATGTGGGATCTTCCTGGACCAGGGCTTGGACATGTGTCCCCTGCATTGGCAGGCGGATTCTTAACCATTGCACCACCAGGGAAGTCCAGGCATGTATAATTTTAAAATTTCTGATGGCCACATTAAAAAAAGTAAAAACCAGGTGAGGTTAGCCTTAATACATTTAATTTAGCCTTATATATACAGGATATTATTATCTCAACATATAATAAAAGCTTTTATTAATGAGCTATTTTACATGCTTTGACATCTAGAATATAGATTACTCTTACAGCTAGGGTGACCCTGTGTTGTGTGACTTACAGTGCTAAAACTTGTACAGATGGTCACCTTATTTACAGCCCATATTAATTCAGATGCTGCATTTTTATTGAAAATACTTGGTCTATATTTAGGTTACATAAAATCTACTGTTTGAAAAAGTTTATTCATATATGCAGGTTCTTCCAAATATACTTAAAAGTGTTCCTATAACTGAATCGGGTATCAGTTAAATTTACATTAATTCAAATTAAACCTTCAGTTCTTCAGTTGTACTAGCCACATTTTAAGCGCTCAGTAGCCACATGTAGCCAGTGACTACCATGTTGACAGTGCCAGTCTTGAACAACCTGTACCTTTCTAGCTAAATCCTAGTCTTCACGCAGCCACTGTGCTCCAGCTAGACTGCACTGCTTGCCCTTCCCCTTCATATCTAACTTTTGCTTGATTCTGCCTTTACTGGCATTGTTCCTATTGTTCTTTTTGCCTGAAACATCCTTCATGTCCTGCTTCTGTATACCCAAATGTTGCCCATCCTCTAGAATCCTATACAAATGCCTCTTCCAGGAAGTGGTATTGATGAACCCTGGTTGGAAGTAATTCCTATCATGTACACTACTGAAATATTGATATTAATTTTCACTTCTCATGATTTTGGCAGTTTCTATCTTGTATTATGGTGTTCTCAATCCATTCTAGTTTGGCTTCTGTCCTCATTGCTCCTCTGAAATCACTTCTAGAGATCACCACAAATTTCCTTTTGCCAAATTCAATAGTCTTTTCTGTGTCCTCACCTTTCTTTGAACTCTCAGCACCATCTGACATAGCTGATCATTATCTCCCACTTAAAAATTTTTATTATGAAATGATTCACACATATTAGAATATATATGAAGTATGTATTTTACTTACATTTTGAAGTACGACATCGTTTAAAATATAGAACATTAACTTCGAGGCACCTCTGTGTGTCCTTGATACTTCTCTCTCTTTCCTAACTCCCAGATGACCACTATCCTGAATTTTGTATTAATAATTCTTTATTTTTCATTATAGTTTTACCACATATTAATGTTGGTATTTATCCATTCAACTACGGACATTTAGATTATTTTCACTTTTTTACTATTATAAACAAGGTAGTTATGAACATTCCTTCTTGAATGTGATTCCAGCTGCACATATTCAAATTTCTCTAGGTCAGTGATACTCAAAAAGTATGGTTCTTAAATCAGCAGTATGAACATCACCTGGGAACTTGTTAGTCCAAGCAAATTTTGGGCCCCACTCCAGCAAATGTGAATGGACTAAATGCTCCGACCAAAAGACACAGGCTCACTGAATGTATACAAAAACAAGACCCATATATATGCTGTCTACAAGAGACCCACTTCAAACCTAGGGACACATACACACTGAAAGTGAAGGGATGGAAAAAGATATTCCATGCAAATGGAAATCAAAAGAAAGCTGGAGTAGCAATACTCATATAAGATAACAGACTTTAAAGAATGTTACAAGAGACAAGGAAGGACACTACATAATGATCAAGGTATTAATCCAAGAAGAAGATACAACAATTATATATGCACCCAACATAGGAGCACCTCAGTACATGAGGTGAATGCTGACAACTATAAAAGAGGAAATGGACAGTAACACAATAATAGTGGGGGACTTTAACACCTCATTTACACCAAATGGACAGATCATCCAGACAGAAAATTAATAACGAAACACAATCTTTAAATGACACAAAACACCAGACAGATTTAATTGACATTTATAGGGCATTCCATCCAAAAACAGCAGACTACATTTTCTTTAGTGTACACGGAACATTCTCCAGGACAGATCACATCTTGAGTCACAAATCAAGCCTCAGTAAATTTAAGAAAATTGAAATCATATCAAGCATCTTTTCTGATCACAACGCTATGAGATTAGAAATAAATTACAGGGGAAAAAATGTAAAACACAAACATGTGGAGGCTAAACAATACGTTACTAAATAACCAGGAGATAGATCACAGAAGAAATCAAAGAGGAAATCAAAAAATACCTAGAGACAAATGAAAATGAAAACATGTTGATCCAAACCTATGGGATGCAGCAAAAGCAGTTCTAAGAGGGAATTTTATAGCAATAGAATCCTACCTCTAGAAACAAGAAAAATCTCAAACAATCTAGCCTTACACCTAAAGTAACTAGAGAAAGAAGAACAAACAAAACCCAAAGTTAATAGAAGGAAAGAAATCATAAAATCAGAGCAGAAATAAATGAAAAATAGAAACAAAACAGTAGCAAAGATCAATAAAACTAAAAGTTGGTTCTTTGAGAAGATAAACAAAATGGATAAACCTTTAGCCAGACTCATCACAAAAAAGAGGGAGAGGGCTTCCCTGGTGGCTCAGAGGTTGAGAGTCCGCCTGCTGATGCAGGGGCCACGGGTTCATACCCCGGTCTGGGAAGATCCCACATGCCGCGGAGTGGCTGGGCCTATGAGCCATGGCCGCTGAGCCTGTGTGTCCGGAGCCTGTGCTCTGCAACGGGAGAGGCCACAACAGTGAGAGGCCTGCGTACTGCAAAAGAAAAAAAGGGAGAGGACTCAAAATTAGAAATGAAAAAGGAAAAGTTACAACAGACACTGCAGAAATACAAAGCATCATAAGAGAATACTACAAGCAACTCGATGCCAATAAAATGGACAACGTGGAAGAAATGGACAAATTCTTAGGTATAAA